CTAAATCAAGGCTAGAACTAAAAATAAGCATGTCATCCACATAAAGACAAATAATAACACATGTACCATCTACACATTTTGTATAAACACATTTATCTACTTCAATTGATGAAAACCCACCATTAATCAATACTTGATCAAATTTTTCATACCACTATTTAGGTGCTTGCTTTAGAACATATAAAGATTTTAGCAATTTACATACTTTATTTTCTTGGCCAGACACTATACAACCCTCAGGTTGCTCCATGTAAATTTCCTCTTCTAAATCACCATTTAAAAATGCAGTTTTAACATTCATTTGGTGAATAAAAAGTTTATAAATAAAAGTCAAGGCAAGTAAAACACGAATTGAGGAAATTCTAGTTACAGGAGCATAAGTATCAAAATAATCAATATTTTGCTTTTGGGTAAAACCTTTTGCAACAAGTCTAGCTTTTTATTTATCAATGAAACTATCCAGATTGAGTTTCTTCTTAAAAATCTATTTACAACCAATAGGTTTAGCTCCCAGAGGTAAATCAACTAAAATCCAAGTTTTATTTTGTAAAATTGAATTTACTTCTACATCAATAGCTTCTTTACAAAACGAGGCATCAGACGGAGAAATAACTTCAGAATATGTTAAAGGATCATTATCTGCAAGATAAGTATAAAAATCATTACCAAAAGATTTTTTTTCCCTTGGTCTTTTGCTTCTTCTTAAATCCTCACTTTCCTCACTTTCAATGATTAATTGGAACATGTGAAATATTATCACTTGGAATAATATGAGCATCAGAAATATTCTCAAATTTTAAAGGAAAAATATTTTCAAAAAATTCAGCATTTTTTTTCCAACAATAGTATTATTTTCGAGTACATTACTTTTGACTACTAAAAATCTATACGTTGCACTACTTTCAGCATACCCAATAAACATACAATCAGATGTCTTAGATCACATTTTTCTCCTTAGGATCAAGCAACATAACTTTAGCAAGGCACCCCCACACTTTCAAATATTTCAAATTAGGTGGATACCCATTCCACAACTCATAAGGAGTTTTACTCGTTTTTCTATAAGGAATTCTATTTTGTAAATGACAAGCAGATAAAATAGCTTCACCCCAAAGATTATCCGGAGCACCAGAACTTACAAGCATGCTATTCATCATTTCCTTTAAGGTCCTATTTTTTCTTTCTGCTACACCATTTGATTGTGGAGAATATGGCGGAGTTATCTCGTGAATTATGTCTTCTTTCTCACAATAATCATTCAACAAAATAAATTCACCACCTCTATCGGATCTAACTCTAATAATTTTTTTATCCAATTTATTTTCTACTTCAGATTTATAAATTAAAAACTTATCAAAAGCTTCATCTTTATTTCTCAACAAATAAACTTTTGTATATCTAGAAAAATCGTCTATAAAAGTCACATAATATTTTTTCCCTCCTCTAGTCATAGTTTGTTTCAAGTCTCCTAAATCAGTATGAATTAAACTTAATAATTCAGATTCTCTAAATACTGAAACACATGATTTCTTAGTTTGTTTAGCTTCTGCACAAACTTCACACTTATCAATATTTGAAAAATTAATATTTGAAATAAGACCTTCAAAATGCATTTTCTTAATATAAGATAAACTAACATGTCTTAATCTAGCATGCCATAAAGTAAAAGAATCAATCAAGTAAGCAGAAGTGCTAGTATTTTCATTGATAACATTGAGTACAAACAAGCCATGGTTATAATAACCCTTGCCAACAAAATTATTATTCTTGGTCAACACGACCTTATTAGATTCAAAAGAAACCTTCACCCCCATTTTTCCTAATAATCCCACAAAGACCAAATTGGCTCGGATATTAGGAACATGCAACATGTCATTCAATGCCAAAATTTTGCCAGACGTGAGTTTGAGAAGAACTTTGTCTTTTCCAAGAACTGGAGTAGTCCTTGAGTCACCAAGATATACAACTCCTTCTCCTTCCTCAATGTGGGTGTAAGACACAAAGTCTTTTTTGTTAGCATATATGTGCCTAGTGGAACCAGAATCTAACACCCGGTCTTTCACATTGGCCACAAGGTTCACTTAGGAAACAACTGCAGTAATTTTGTCATCCACTTTGGCTTCAGTTAAATTTACTTTAGCCTTAGCAGGATTGTAATTCCCAACCCTCTTCCGGCATTGAGCACCATGATGGCCAGATTTGCCACACACAAAGTAGTTACCTTTTTTCTTGAAGGTTTGATTGTTGGTTTAGGCTTATAACCATTTTCTTTATCATACATGTTATTTGATTTGTTCTGCCTCTTATTGTTCTCCACCAGGTTGGATTTTGTAGCAATCTCCTTTCCTTTATCAGCAACAACTTGCTTGCGATTTGTATTTTCAATTATAATGTGCTTGACCAAGTCCTTCAGCGATAATTGCTTGTTTTTGTATTTTAATTGTTGTTTGTAGTCACTCCAAGATTTGGGAAGTTTTTCTATAAACATACTAGCAACAAACTATTCGGGCAGAGAAATATCTTCAGATTTGAGATCTTCAATCAACTTGTGATATTCGTTGATTTGTGCAGTTATGTCCTTGTCCTCCATCATATCCCACTTGTAGTAGTTTCCAATTATGGACTTTTGTTTAGTAGCATGTTCAGTAGTGTACTTTGTTATCATTGACTCCCAAATTTCTTTTGCCTCCTTGTAGGAAATATGGACATCGAAAAATTCGTTAGAAAGAGTAGAAATTATAGTATGTCTACATACCTTATTAGCATGAACCCATTGATCCATCTGAATGGAAGTTGCTTCAGTTGGCTTAGGATTAGTAAGTGCAAAAGCAACTCCATGCATATCCAAAATAGAATGCACCCATTCCTGCCAACGCTTAAAATTATCTCCACCAAAAACCTCAATTTTCGAAACATCAGGAAAAGGTTTGGCATATGTAATTGGTGATGGAACAACAACAGAAACAGTTGGTGCAACAGGAGTAGTAGCATCAACAACAATATTAGCAGCGTTATTCTCCATAATAACAACGTAAAATATCCTTAAGATTGTTGGGAAAAAATTTAGATGATTATGGATAATAAAAGGTTTTGCTTGAGGCGTGTCAAAGACACTGTCCTTAAGAATATTTCACCCACACCGAGATGAATAATATTAGACGTATCCCCAGGATTCAACAAGCTTTTCTAGTATAACTAAGAGCAGAAACAACAAAGATTAATGAGAAGAAAACCCAACACAAAAGAAAGAAGAAGAAAAGTTTTTACTATTTTCACACTTTTTCAAAGTGACCACACGAAGGACTTATATAGTCCAAAAACTGAAAAACCCATTTGATAAAAATCTAAGCCATAAAGGCTCATCAAAATGTTAACGTTGCTTTTCTGTTACAAAACATAAAGACAATCATGAAAGACCAATACGTTAACAAATGATACTAATGTATAATAGCTATCATTTAGTTGTTAGATTTCAAAATATGTTAACAAAGTAATCCTTAAAGAAAATTTGATAAAGCAATACGTTAACAAATGATAATACCGTATAATAATGTACAAATCCATACTAATGAGTATTCAATTGTCTAATTTATTTTGTCCCAAATTGAATTCAAAATTAAACTAATTTTCTATTATAAATAATTTTTAAAATAATTAGTATAATGACTCATTAATATAATAGTAAGAAAATGAATCTAGATATAGTTTTAGAAAATTTCTTTGTGAGATATCAAAAGTATTTTTCTATCAATTAATCCCCTCCTAGTACCCGAGGTTGTGGATTATTTCCTCCCAGGATAAAATTCCAGTATTTCTGCGAACACAATGATCGATAGCAAATCACACTCACTATTGCTTTCTTTGTAGTTAAAATAATGCAGAAGAAAGGGGGAGAATTTAGAACTTCGTATGGAAAATATGAGAGAATGGACTGCTATTTATAGCCCCAACATGTTGAGTTGAAACGAAGAGGTGCAACTCTTCAGAGGTCGGTTATGACTGTTCACGTAAAACGACAATAACATAAATGGCCATTTACGCAAATTAAAATGGGAATTCAAAACGCAGAGCATTATCTGATTTTATAACTGTATTATGATGAATATCCGAATTTTCTGATTTATGAACCAAAAATCGATATGTTTTACTATTAGTCGCATATCATATGAAAACACAATCAATGGTTTTCGGTCCTACTTTTACCCTTTTGGGTTTAGGAACTTGCATTTTTTGCCAAACACCCCCACACTTTAAAATAATTCAAGTTGGGCTTCCTTCCTTTCCATTTTTTATATGGAATTGATTGCGTCTTGCTATGGGATACTCGATTTAGTATCCGATTAGCCGTAAGAATGGCTTCCCGCACAAGTTCTGTGGCAAACCAGAACTTATCAACAATGCATTCATCATCTCATTTAATGAACGATTCTTTCTTTCCACAATCCCATTGGATTGGGGCGTGTAAGGGGCCGTTGTTTGATGAATAATTCCATATTCTAAACATATTTCTTAAAAAGGAGATTCATATTCACCACCCCTATCACTTCTTATCATTTTGATTTTCTTGTTAAGATGCGTTTCAACTTCATTTTGTATTACTTGAATGCGTCTATTGCTTCATATTTACTATTAAGTAAGTAAACATAGCAATATCGAGTACTGTCGTCAATAAAAGTTATGAAATACTTCTTTTCACCGCGAGATTGTATTGACTTCATGTCGCAAATATCTGTGTGAATTAAGTCTAAAGGATTTGAATTCCTTTCAACTGACTTATAAGGATGTTTAACATACTTAGATTCCACACATATTTGACATTTTGATTTTTCGTATTCAAACTTAGGCAATACTTCTAAATTAATCATTTTTTGTAAGGTTTTATAATTGATATGTCCCAAACATATATGCCATAAATCATTTGACTCAAGTAAGTAAGAAGAAGCTGAAATTTTATTATTCTCAACGACCATTACATTCAGTTTGAAAAGGCCCTCAGTGAGCTAACATTTTCCTACAAATATCTCATTCTTATATATTACAACCTTATCAGATACAAAAGCACACTTAAACCCGTTCTTAATGAGAAGTGCAACAGAGGCTAAGTTCTTCTTAATCTCTAGAACATGAAGGACGTTGTTCAGAGTCAACACCTTGCTAGAAGTCATTTTCAGAAATATCTTGCCATATCCTTCAATTTTGGCCGTTGCAGAATTTCTCATAGAAAGCGTCTCTTCGGGTCCAACGGGAACATATGCAGCAAACACTTCTCTAACAGCACAAACATGGCGAGTGGCTCTAGAATCAATCCACCACTCTTTAAGATTTCTCACCAGGTTGCATTCAGAAAGCATAACACACAAATCATCAATATCTTCGTGCTTTTCAACCATGTTTGCTTGACCCTTCTTCGTGTCTTTCCTTGGAGCACGACAATCTGCAAATTTGTGTCCAGCTTTCCCACAGTTGTAGCAATTTCCGTTGAACCGCTTCTTGCTTAGGTTGATTTTCGGTCCAGAAGCCTTCTTCCTCTTTCTATTATTTTGAGGAGTATCCTCAACAATGTTTGCTCCCATTATTGTTGAGTTTCCATGACATTTCTTTTCAGTAGCTTTGTTGTTCTCTTCGATTCTCAACCGAACAATGAGATCTTCAAGCGACATCTCCTTGCGTTTGTGTTTCAAGTAGTTTTTGAAGTCCTTCCACAAATGAGGCAACTTCTCAATCATCACTGTAACTTGGAATGCTTCATTGATGATAAGAACTTCAATGAAAATTCTGTTAGTAAAAATAATATAATTAATACTTTCAACATTAGTATTAATTCGACTTATACCTTCAGCAAGGAGATCCTGAATAATCACTTGCAATTCCTAGACTTGGGTAATAACAGACTTGCTATCTACCATTTTGTAGTCCAAAAAATTTGCGGCAACAAATTTCTTCAACCCGATATCTTCATTTTTGTATTTCCTTTCAAGCGCAATCCACATTTCTTTTGATTTCTCCATATTACTATAGACGTTATACAGATCGTCCTCTAGTCCGCTAATGTAACAACCCGATAGCTCATTTTGAGCTCTAGCGCATCGTTAAGCAGTTTGGGGTCATGAGCAGCTTCACCTCAGGTATTATGACTTGTACGCATGGTCGAAATTGAATTCCGGGGGATTCAGAGTTGATTTGGAAAGGGAATTCTCATTTTGGAAGCTTTAAGTTCAAAGAATTGACTAAGGTTGGGTTTTTGAGCGACATCGGAATCGGGATTCGAAGGTTCCAGCAAGTTCGTATGATAATTTCGGACCTGGGCGTATGCCCGGATCGGGTTTTGGATGACCCGGGAGCGTTCTGGCGCCTATTGTGGAAGTTAGCATTTTGGAAGAAATTTCATAAGTTTGGGTTGAAGTGCATTTCAGTGTTATCAATGTATGTTTGGGATTCCGAGTCTGGGAGTAGCTCCATATGGTGATCTTGGTGTTGGGAGCGCGATCATAAGTGAATTCGAAGGTCCTTAGGTCATTTTGGAGTCATTTGGATAAAGATAGAAATTTGATGGTTTTTGAGAAGTTTGACCAGAAGTGGACTTTTTGATATCGGGGTCGAAATCCGATTCCAGAAGTTGGAGTAGGTCCGTAACGTCAAATGTGACTTGTGTGCAAAATTTGGGGTCAATCGGACGTGATTTGATAGGTTTAAACATCGAGAGTAGAAGTTTGAAGTTCTAAAGTTCGTAAAGCTTGGATTGGAGGTCGATTCATGGTTTTAGCGTTGTTTGCTATGATTTGAGGCCTCGAGCAAGTCTGTAATGTGTTTTGGGACTGGTTGGTATGATTGGTTGAGGTCCCGAGGGCCTCGGGTGGATTCCGGGTGGTTAACGGATCGAAAATGGGATTTTTGAAAGGGCTGAAGTTGTTGGTTACTGATATAACCGCAACTGCGAAATTTGGGCCGCAGGTGCGGAGCCGCAAAAAGCGGCCAGAAGAGCTGCAGATGCAGTTTTGGCCAGAAGTGAAGAGACCGCAGATACGGTCATGGAGCCGCAGAAGCGGGACCGCACCTGCGATGGTAAGGCGCAGAAGCGGAAAAGGGGAGCCTAGAGGAAACCGCAGAAGTGGTAGAGTGGCTCGCACCTGCAGAATAGCAGAAGCGGTCAAGGGATCGCAGGTGCGGAAAAGCTGGAGGCAGTGAGGTTCTTTTAAATCGGGGGTTGGGTTCATTTCAACCCTTTTTTTTCCATTAGAGCCAATTTTGGAGCAACTTTGAGGTGCCATTTTCACCATCAAGCATGAGGTAAGTAATTTATGCTAGTTTTGAGTTAAATACATGATTATATATGGATTTGGACATGGAAATCTGTAGAAAACTTGGGGTTTAAGGGAAAACCTAGAAAATTAATATTCTTGGAATTTGACCACGATTTTGGGTATGGAATTAAGAGAAAATCATATATTTGAGTTCGTGAGTTCATAGGTAAACCTTATCTTTGGAAATTTTGGAATTCGGTTACGTGGGCCCGAGGGCGTTTTTGTCAACTTCTCGATCGGGGCTAAGAATGATTATAAATTGGATTGTAATGAGTAATTGAGCATATATTAATGGATTTGCATAATTATTGGCTAGTTTTGGAGCATTTAGCATCGATTCGAGTCTTCGGAAGGGCGTGGAATGCCGGTTATGGATCTTCGGAGCGAGGTGAGTCTCCTTTCTAACCTTGTAAGAGGGAATTGTCCCTATAGGTGAAATATTTGGTTATGTGCTCCTATTTGTGGGGGCTACATACACACGAGGTGACGAGAGTCCGTGCGTAGTTACTAATATGTGTAAGTCCAGGTAGTCTAGGACCCAAAAGCATGCTATACTAGGAATATTTGTAATCTTATTGACAGTTGAATTGCTTAAATCCTATCGAATTGGTAAATGAATTTCTAAAAGGATTAAACTTCATTTTCTTAAATTGTTATAAGAGAATTGGCTTTTATTTGGATAAATGTTCCCCGACAAATTCTTAATTGGCTGTTTGAGCATGTATTTCTATGTGTAGCATGTATGATTCGCGAGCAGGGTGATTCTTTATTTAAATTTGACTGCGTCACATGTATGGTTCGCGAGCGGGGTAATAGATGCATCTATGGTTCGTGCCGCTCGACCCTCGGCAGTGCACATTTTACATTTCTGTTGGATCGGGCCGTATGACCTCGACATGATTTGCGCATGCTTGTATTGCTTGCCTTGAAACTTATTGAAGTTGTTGTTGCCTCTTCCTCGCTTAAGAATATATGTATAAACGATGAAAAGAAATTTGGAAATTTCCTATAAAAGAGAGAATTGTTTACTTGCTTCAACCTATCGAATTATAATCATGTTTATAAAAATTCACGATTTAATTTATTATTGATATAACATTATTGGACCACTAGTAAGTGTCAATGTCGACCTCTCATCTCTACTTCTTCGAGATTAGACGGGATACTCATTGGGTACACATTGTCTTTCTACTCATACTACACTTCTATACATTTTTATTGCACAGGTATATGCATCTCTAGTCGCCTAGTGGGCGTAGCAGCATGGTTGATACGAAGACTTAGGTGAGCTGCATTTCCTGAGACTACCCGTAGCCAACAAGTCTCTTTTAGATTACTGTATTTATTTCCCATCCAATATTGTATTCCGGACGGTTGTTGTATTGCATTATTTCTTATAAATTTCTCATGCAATTGTGACACCGGGTTTTGGGATGTCTTTGGGTTTATTCAGGAATTTTAAAGGTTGTTAAATGTTTCATTATTTATTCAGAGGGATTTACTATGTATTGTTTTAAACGTATAAAAGAAGTGTTTGCGGAAATATTTACACGAGAAGTTAATTAAGTATTTTGGTTGGCTTGCCTAACAGCAGTGTCCGGCACCATCACGACCCTTAGTGGATTTTGGATCGTGATAACATGGTATCAGAGTACTAGGTTCCCTTAGGTCTTACGAGTCATGAGCAAGTCTAGTAGAGTCTCGCAGATCGGTACGGAGACGTCTATACTTATATTCGGGAGGCTACAGGGCTGTTAGGAGTACTTCCCTTCTTGATTCCTCATCGTGCGATTTAATTCCTTGAGGCTTATGCCCTTGTTTCCTTCCTACCCAATCTTACGCGACGCGAACCGCTTGTTATAAATCGACAATTGAAGAATTGTAATGGTACTACAGATGTGGTGCGAGATGTTTCTCCTGGTATAGTTGGTTGGGCTATTGTCCTCACCTTGCGGAAGGATTTTTCTATCGTTTCGGCTCGGTAGTGGTGCTTCTAAGAGCTTGGAGGCTATGCACAGGTTTCTATGATGCTCACGATTGGTTATCACACAGTATTACTTGATAGTAGGATACTTGCCTATATGTTGGGTGGTGAATGATTTGAAAGGAAGTCTACTCAATGCACGATTCAGAGATATGATATTTCATTTCCGGCAGAGGAAAATCAATTGGCCTATGGATGTCCAGATTTGGGGTAATGGAGTAACGAGACTTGGTATTTTCGAGTGTGGTGGAATTTTCATCTGCGATGTAGTGTCGTCGTCCTCGATTGTACGTGTTAATTTCACCGGTGTTATGGTCTTCTGCAATTCGCCTATGGGGTAAGATATTATGAAATAATATTGGAGAAACAACTGTTAGATATCGTGGGGTATAGTGGTTCAAGATTGAATCGGTGTTCCTAATGTTGACGGCTCGAGTAAAATGATCTCCGAAAAGGGTTAAAGTTAGTAGCGATTTGCGAGTTCAAGTGCTACAAAGGTAGATTTTATTTAGGCAACAACTGAGCAGCAAATGATGAAGAAGGACATGTGGGAAGTGTCAGGCGGTGGTTAAAATTTCTAGAAGACCAGGTGTCACGACCCAGATTTCCCACCATCGGGTGTCGTGATGGCGCCTACTATCGAAGCTAGGCAAGACAAATATTTAAAATACCTTTCCTGCTTTCTTTCAAACAATATAATAAACGAGACAAAATTTAAGCGGAAGACTTTAAATCTAAAGCAACTGAAAACCAAAAGTGTGGAAGTTTAATACATAGCACTACCCAAGGTCTGGTGTCACTAGCTCACGGACTACTACAGAATACTACAAACAATGTCTGAAAGGAAATACATCATGTTTGTCTGATACAAGATGAACAAACGAACAACATGAAAAGGGACTTCGGCCTGCGAACGCCAGCTAGGCTACCTCGAGAGTCCCTGGACTGAAGACAGCTCCCAAAAATCCTACTGTTGTGGTCCGTAAGTTGCTCCCTGATTTGTGCAAAAAAATTTGCACATAGTGTAGCATCAGCACAACCGACCCCATGTGCTGGTAAGTGCCTGGCCTAACCCCG